TCCGCATTGAATTGGGGCTAGTGGGAGGCAGAATGTATCCCCCCTAGTAAAGTATTTGATATGAACATCGTTCATTTCCTCAACTCGGAGCCAAAACAAGCGGCCACGTCGCCTGTTGCCTATCCGCCAATGTTCATCATAGCCGCAAGCTGCGGTCGGCAAAGTAGCAAATGTGTGCTGAGCTCCAGGCGCTAGCGAGTTTTAGAATAGGGCCCCCAACGTTTGGGTTCACCTAAGAAATTGGGAAACCCAAGCGCAACAAGGTTGGCGCCGAAGGCTTATAGAATAGGGGTTTCGCAACGGAGAGCATCGCGCTTGTGTTTCCCGCTTGCAGCGCGCATGCCGCAAACGAGCGTAATATTTAAAAAATAAAAATACTAAAAAAACAATGTAAAATATACGCGCTAAGCAGGTACTTTTTTCTAGAAAAATTAGTTAAGGTGAAACTGAATAAATCCGACTAAAACAAAATACAATCTATACTCAGTATAAATGTTGTTGGCTGTATTCAGCCAAAACAGTCCACTCCGTAGAACACTAATTTGGCGTTCGTTCTCGGATTGTTTTTGGCGTTTGTGTGGCGCATTGACCGTCTGCTGCCGAATATTTAAGCGTTGAACTATGCCGAAACTGAGACAAGCGCAAACGAGCGTACTCTGCAGCTCTATTTAGATCTGAGCTGGAGCGACTTTGAAGCCTTGCAAGACTAGTTTTAGAGTTACAAGTTTCCTGCTCCGAACGAAATTAATAGACCTATACGCCTCGCAAGTGGGCTCATTTTCGTCTTCTGCGCATGAGAAAGGAAGTAGCGGTGACGTCAGAACGCCGAGCCCTGATTGGCCGATCGCGACCCCCTATCTGAGCGTCGTCTGCTCGCAACATCGTCTGCGTCTGTCTTAGCTTTCCTGCGACTTTCGGAAGTGCAGGTCTTTACGAGCGAGCTCGACTTTCAGAGAAGGCAGACGAAATAACTCGAAAGGTACGTTGTTTGTGCCTAATAACTAGCAGACGCGCATCAAGGAGGAAAGTCAAAGGACTCACTGGCGAGGTGTCCCGAGGCGCCGAGGTTTGTTTGCTTAGAACCGAGAGTGAGCGTGTTAGTGTCCGCAAGTTCCCTCCCAAATACTTTTTCCCTCCATTCGTGTGCGGGAGCGTCGGCGGGTTGGCGCAGTTAACGTCATCTGCTTTACGTCTGCTAGTCAAAGCGATGGCTGCTTTACTTTTCCTGCGTCTGTCGGAGATTCACCGCTTTTTCACCGGCGAGAGTCACCGTAGCCTCGGGAAGCAAGGAGATAACAAGAGGAAGAAGTTTACCTATTAATCTAAAATTGAGGTCAGCGATCAAAGTATAATACGGGAAGGGTTCACAAGGGTCACGCGGGCATATTCCATTCAGCACGCCAGCCGGTCGTGGGCAGACGGTCGCCGAGTCGCGGAGTGCCTGCTAGGCCTAACTGCCCAGCTCGTTTGGTCGCGTTCGATGGAATCGTGGCCGTTGGAGCTTTTCCCGGGTGTTTGTGGATCCAGCGTTCTTGTTCGTCGTGGTCTGCTTCAAGTACTTCTTAATTTTTTCTTGCTGCTTGAAGTCGGGACGCGTCAGAAGCGTAGGTAGAAAAATAAACGTCCGTGGGTCGTCGCGACCGCGACGCTGTCGGCCATGCTGATTTGATCGTAAGAAGTGCGAAAGACAGCTTCGGAGCTGCCGTAGGATTTCGTCGTAACCTGCGCAAAACTTACGAAAATTTCGTTTCGTGAATACGAATTTGTTCTTAAGTTTTGTCTTACGCACATTTTTGGCGTAAGATCGTTTCGTGCATCTGGTCTCTGCGCTTCCGAAAGTCGCAGGAAAGGGACAGAAGCAGACGACGTTGCGAGCAGACGACGTTGCAGAGGAGCAGACGACGCTCAGATAGGGGGTCGCGATCAGTCAATCAGGGCTCGGCGTTCTGACGTCACCACTACCCCCTGCGCAAGAAGCAGACGAACTTGCCCTCCGCATTGCTATATTACACAAGCATCAAGAAGAATGCAGGGATTGGTGTTCCACTCGCCGCACGTGCTGCCCTCAGCAGTAGTAAACTTTCTAAAGCAAAAATCTAAAACAAATTGTACCTTGCACGCGCGTTCGTCAACGCTTTATTTTGGTTATTTACTTCAAATCATTTGTACGGGGAAGGCGTGCGCGTGTGGCTCGCAGCGTTCGATCCTGCTGTCTCGCCGACTTCGACGCCCGCGACGTTCTGTTATTATCTTCTTCCTTTTTGTTTTGGGCACAGGTTCGCCGCATTAAACGTTTAGTTTCCTCAGTTATTCTTTGTTTCATTAACTCCTCATTCGTGGCAATATTGCTGCGTCAAGTGGCATCTAGAGAGCCTAGGTGGTCAAAGAAAAGGGGAGCCTTGCCAGCTAAAGTAGCGTCAAATGGGAAAACTTCCAACTTCCAGAAAAACTTCCAGAAAAGGAAGACACCAGCTTTAATAACAGGCCGAAATAGAAAGTGCAGGAGTGCAGTGGATGATAAAAATATGCAATAAAGATAGGAATGCGGCAAAAACGTTTTGGGATCACATTGAAGCGCAGGGCAGAAATAGAGAGGGTTTCTAACACATCCTGACCACACAGGAGGGAAGAAGAGTAGACGGGGAAGAGGCACTGGAATATAATAGGCGGACAATTGAAGAGGCTTTCTCCTAGCTTGAGCATACGAAGACAGTGGATCGTACTGACATCAGCAGTGTAGAGGAGGAGCAGAATTGTGTACCAATGGAGACGACCACAAGAGAATGGGTTAAAACAGAAAGTAAGGTTCCAGCAGATACAGCGACAGGCCCAGACGACATACCCATGGAACTCATTAAGGCACTAGAAAAAGAAGCAAATTAAAGTTATGGCATATAATTAATCAAGTAATTATTAGATTAGAGGTATCCAATAGGGTTGGGAACTAAGTAATGTGTGGCTAATATATAAAGGCCGAGGAAACAAAGACAACATTAAAGCATATCGCCCAATAACGGTAACTTCAGTTACATACAGATTAGCTATGCAGATAGTAAAGCGGAGAACGGAGGAATGGACAATAGATATGCAAATACTGGGTGAGGTGCAGAACGGATTTCGAAGAGATAGAAGATTCGACGATAACCTATTCGTCGCCACACTCCCTCGCCGGGGAGAAGAGGCAGGGAGGAGGGGGGGGGGGGGAAGTTTTGTAGTTTTTTTGCCCGATCCCTTAAAGGTTGATAAGCCTGGTGACATCTCACACTACCTGATGATAGTTAGGGTGAGAAAATTAGCTTAGTAGGGCGGAAGGAACCATACGTTTCTCTTTTTAGACATAAGCTAGGTGGCGCAAGCTACCGCCCGTTAGCATTCATGGCTTTAAACCAACCCTTTGGCAATCACATGGCGAGCCAGAATAAGCCATAGAAACGCCAGAAAAGTAATATTCCATTAACGCTTTTGAGTAAAATCCTGATAGGCTGAAATTCGTCCCCTAGGATTTCCAAGCTTGTGCCGACGTAAGCGTTTCTCTGACGTGCTACTTGGGCTTCAGCCAGCAAGCTTCACACCAACACTCGAATCGAAGGGGGGGGGTTGACATCTAGTGCTCCTCATTTGATATTAAGTAGAAGCCCGTATAGTTTCCACAAAACGCTGGTGTCATTTGTGGAGAGCTTGATAAACTCGTTATTACCTTAGCCCAATACAGAGCGAAGACTGCACAGGAATGGCAGGGAACGATACCACTTCATTGCTCTTGGAGTCAAAGTTTCGACAGATTAGGTTTGTTTTGTGCCGCAGATACATTTAACCACAAGCTTGTTGGTTTAGGTAAGATAAAATATAAGGGGTGGCTCGTGCGGATGCGACGCTGTGAAACGAGCTGGAAAATGCGGGGCCTTAAAATAGAAAACTCGAACTTCAACAAAATGTGCCTCAACAGTTCAGTCGTACCGCCTTAAGTTTAGAGGCATAGTTTTCCTCCTGTAAAAAAAGAGAGAGCACCAAACTTATCCCAGATAGTGTCGGGCACGTTCGCAGATGACCAACTTAGCGAGGCTTGTAACCTGTGGCGCCATCTTTCGATTGGCGCAGCAAACAGATAGCGTTGTGCGTCTTGTGGTTGCTGCGCATCTCGTCAGGTTATTTTACAGCGTCATATTCACATGAGACACCCTATATATGGAGTGCTGGTGTTGATGTGCTAGGTTAAAATATTAGACGGAAAACATTTTGTAGAAGTCAAAAACGACTAATTGACAAGACAAAATCGATGCGGCGAGCGACGCAGAACTTTTATTGTCTCGTTGAAAAACAAGGGGGTAGACCACAATTCATCTAGCATTGAGGTCAACACACTGTCCTTTCAATCAAAGCCAATCAGAGCTCGGTGTTTTTCTGACGTGACCGCAACTATTGGACAGACTACTTGCTGTCCACATAACGAATCAAAGTGCTAGATTCTATTTAAACGACTATCGTCCACCTAAAACTGTTTCGAAACTGGCTACCCGATGAGTAAAACATCAGGTTAAAAGTATGTTTTAACCTTTTTGATGGCGAAACAATAATTGAGAAGAAGCGATACAAATGGCTTTGCAGTCTCCATCTCCGAGAGTAGATTACCAGCTTAAAATTGAAACTCTACCACACTAACTCATAATGTTTATGTGCACTGTAAGAGACTGGACCGGTTTCCATCCTCACTACTTTTTGTATTATATTCGCCATGTTCATTCTAAAACTTTTTTCTCTATTCCTTTCCTTGGTATGATGGCCCAAGGGGTGCAGTAAGATCAAGTGTAAGTAATTCGATAAATTGAAGATCAGTGCCAGGGCGGGTTTGCCATTGTGAATGGTAGTTAGCCAATTTATTTCTGATTATACGTGTGATTCATCTACCAATACGTCATTGTATAGGATGCATGCTCCATAATTTATAAATTGCTCCTTCTAACGAAATTGTCAAGATTGTATACATTTTTATCTATCTTAGGTTATATGCTTGGTGTCGTGACGTTCCCTTCGATAATAATCCGTCCCTCAATTGGTGTCTTGATTGGTGACATTTTACCAATGTATTCAACAAGAACATCGAGATCAATGGGACCTGTAAAGAATAATAGAAATATTCAGGATACAATAAGTGACTCTTTTACTGGGCAATTTCACAAAATGACTCAATGTAAAAGAAAGAAATAAAGAAATTCCGTTTGGCGGTTTCTTTGTATCTTTCAGGCTCTAACGAAATGTTGTTTAACTTATATTCTAGACTCTAGAAATATGTGCGCATCTACGTAACTTCCTCAAACACACTTTAATAAAAGTTCATTTGCATCTGCAGAAAAACATAAGTGATTCGCAAGAATGCAAAAAAAAAAAAAAGGAAGACACGATATATTTAACCCAAGACTTGGGCAGAAGAAGGAAACAAACTTTAACAATGTCAGTAAAAAAAATACAGGGAAGGAAAACGCCTTTAGAGATGTTTTGTCAGACTGAATCATAAAAAGAACGCTGTCGACATAAGGGAAGCCCAAAATGTTAATGTCCTGCAAGCGAAAACTATAAAGTGAACACCCGTTTCCTCTTAAAATGTACATTAAAGTTCACTAAAAATAAGATAAAATGCAAATGTCTCACCGGCTTCTCCATAGTTTTCAGCTTTGGCAAATCCATCACCACCCTTGGCTACGAAAGTATTGGTAACGATTGTATAGTTTTTGTCGTCAGCTACGTTCTGATAAACGGGTACAAGGCACTTGGTGCATAGTACTTTCAGGGATGTGACACGGTTACATGGCGACAGTGATAGGTTATACTTGACACGGGCGCCTGGAAGAATGAAAGATTTTATTTTAATCGTCATAAGTCGCGATCTGCAACTGAACTTATAAAGAGTAGACGAGAACTTTAATATATTGTAGCAATTTTTGCATTTCCGTATTGCGTGCATTGCTTTTAAAATGTGGCTTCTTACCAGAAATCTGAAGAAATTCTCCTTTCTTGTTTTCGTAGCTGAAGTTGGCTACGGAATGTTCGAACATAAGTCTTAATGCAAATCCACTGAGCGGCACTGTGACAATCGCTTGACCGAATGGTGCACTTGCAAGTATGTCCCCCATAGTTATATCTGGAAGGAAAACATATATTATTTTTTTTCATGACTCGCAACTCAGCCCATACTTTATAACTAGTGCCATTGAACACGCAAAATGCAGACAATCAAAAATATACAACGGCACAAATTATATAATTTTCGGCTGAATGCTGATATGACTATACCTTCACCGTGTGTAAAATTGAAAACAAAAGAAGAAACTTGTGAAGAATTTACAAGTATAAGCTAATTATAATCTTCACATATGGAAAGGGACACAGAGGTCACACTCACTTTAAATAAATTTTTAAAAAAGTAGTATTTCATGCTCTAACATTTTTTTTTTTAAACTAGGTTACAGCGGGGTGGTTCATTTCCTCTGTAAACTTATCAATGAAAAACCCTTCCTTTATCGTAGGTTACAAATAAAACCATACAATTTCTACTAACCAGCATGAATTGAACCAATGCTCGGGAAAAAGCGTTTTAGACCGTTGAGGTGTCTTAAACAATAAAAACAACACAAATATTAAGATGAACGGTTTTCTGCTTGCACTCGTTCCTTATTTTGTCCGAATTAATGCCACAAAAACCCCATAAGAATGACTTCTTAACTTCTGCTGTGAAACGTTAACCTGCATACTGAGCCATATTTATTTTTTAATTTATTTTCTGCTTTTGAATAAAGTGAATGTTTTATTTTAATATTTTCACTTTAACAAAACATTGCACCACGCTTTAGACATTTCTTCGTTGTAGCTTATAGGGAAGAAGAGCAACAAATCGTTTCTTGGTTCTTATTTATTTATTTAATTAATTAATTATTTATTGAACGCAGGTCAGTTTCATTTGACTCTCGTGGAAGTTGGATAAAAGTAATATGACGAGTTTTGTATTTTGGCATTCGTGACTTCAAGAAGTACTGCCCTTATTTTGCCGAGTTAGAGGCTTAAACCACGGACGAGGCTCCCAAAATTTAGTGGATGTTGATTAATTGACATGGACGCACCATATGCAGTTTAATGTTTGGTTTTACGGTGAAGACTCAGTGGCAGACGGAATTTTTTTATGATTAGCCCTCATCTGAAACATCGTTAGAGTGCTGTTTCTGTTGTGATCTGAAGGCACCTAACCTTGTCTTTTTCTTTGTGATTAGACACATGTAAGGGTGGTTAATTTCAATTTGAACATATATATTTAAGAAAGTGATGCTAGGTAGAGAAGTGAGGTCTATACAGGTGAGTTATACGGCCAGGGATTGGAGGACGGAAGCTTCTGGGGGCGACATGACCCCAACACAGGTGAATCCAGAAGTGTGGAGGAACAGGCCCCCAACGATCACCAAAACTAAGAAACGCTATTGGACGAAAAAGAGAGATTATCTTTTCAGCCGCGCGGAGCAAAACCATATTAGGCCAAGTTAGGCCCACTGTCAAGCTTGCTCCAAGCTAGCTCTTGATCTGGCGAGCTACCTGGACTACAATCAACCCATCCATTACACGAATCAGTATAGCCAGCCGGCAACGGCCAGGCGGCGCAAGCAGGGTGAGAGCGCACGGTTATACTCTGTCTCGCTGTTACCTGGCAAAGGGTGAACGATAAGCCCCACATTGCGTGCCGAAGGCTTCGAAATGCGGGGCGTATATGAGCGCAACGCACATATTGGAACATGACGCAGGGAAAAGACTGATACTTCTTCGGGGTTGAGGCGCGCTCCGTTGATACGCGGTCACGTTCCGATTGGCCCGCCAGGGCCGTAGCTTCCGCTGTACTGGCACGTTACGCGATCACGGCTTCCTGGGTTACCCAGTATTTCTTGCTTCAGACACTAGGCTAAGCGGCGCCACCAGAGTAAAAGCTCACGTTTGAACAATGCAGCCGCCACTCCCAGGGGTACCCAATATTTCTTGCTTCAGTCGCTAGATGGCGCCAAACAAAACAGCATTGCAGGTGGCCTATACGTCGCCGACTAAACTCTTAAAGGGTAACTCAGCTCAAAAATCGAACCATAGGAAAGGACTGATATCCACGCAGTGCAAAAAAAGTATCACGATCACAAAAAAAAAGAAGAAAAAAAAGAAAGGCCAATGGTCATGCCACCTTTCCTGATAAAACCGTTGTAAAAATACAATCACCAGCGTTTCAGAGAGCCGCAGTGAGTTATCTGTTCTGGAAACACCACTGAAAAATGCGTTGCATCGTGACTTGTCGGTCGCACAGCTATTTCATTTCGGTGCTTTTCGCATGGTCTTTCCGCAAACGACTAATGCTTCCTTTCGAATGTTCTGCTTTTTTGTTAAGTGTTTCTCAAAAATGCGACAAGACAGTTGCGTCATGGTGCGGCATCTAGCAGTTTCATTTTGGATAGGCATTGCGTGTACCAGTCGACATCATTTGTAAACGATGTCAGCTTGCCTGAGCACAGCGCTACACAAAACGTTCATGGCCAAAATCGGCGCAAACATTTTTACACCGGACCTTGAAATCGAAACCACGACCACTCCATGCGCTGGAGAAAACAGCCGCAATCATCTCAATTTCAGTGCGCCTATGAAATTCGCGACAGCGGGCGAAGGGCGATCTGATAGATAGAGGAGCGAAAGGTACTTCTTGTGTATAGAGTTTACCATTTAGTGGCAGGGGTGAGTTGCGTCTTTTATGAAGTTCCGGACCGTCAAACATAAACCAACGCATTGTAGAGGCACGCTCCACCTCAGACAAACAAAACAAAACAAAACAAAATAACAGATAGTGTCTCGCAGTCGTTGCCACTTGCAACTTTGGGGGGGGGGGGGGGGGGGGGGGGGGAGGAAAGGGGATAGGGAGACACGACTGAGTTCGAGCACCCAGCAACTCCTGCGTTCCGAATGACGTCAGAATACACGGGCTGGGCATGAATACGTTTTCCAATTCTAACGAGTCAAACCTTTAGTTCGGATCGAGATCAAAAGACGAGGCTGCAGAACCGCGCTGACGCGGCCAAGACACTGAGGTTCAAGGACTGAGCGGCCAGGCCATAGTCTTTTGTATACTGACAAAGCCTGGCAGGTCGTCAAGAGAAACGCCGCCGACATGGAAAAGGTGGAACGGCAGACAGTGGATGAGGGCAGAGCTACGTGACTGGCGCCCCTCTGCGGCGAGTCGCCGAAACACACTTCCCCCGAGTGAACAAGTGTGTTTCGAGTCCTCGCGGCTGCAAAAGCTGTGCGCTGACTCCCAGGTTCCCCGAGAAATGGCTCTTTGATTCTTTGTGCTACCAGATCTTTAGGCTCCAAATCTGTGACTGGGCACTCCATGGCTCTGGCGTCGAACTGCCAGGATTTCTGAGTATAGAGGTGGCTATGGTAACAAATATGGCAGACCATGTATTTTGAGCGCCCGGCTTCCAGCGCGCGCCCTCCCGAAGCCTTGTTCAACGTAAGAAGCTCGCGTTGAAGGCGGGACAAACGAAGCTCCTCCCCGCCCTTCTCACCTTGTCAGTGATTATTTGACGCTCCGGCAGCCTATAGGAGTCGCTGACCTCTATAAATATGGCTGCCGAGAACATGTCCGGCATGGCCATATGCTAGCTCAACGCACAAAGCTCGAGATTAGGCTGGCAAGGACGGGATACAAGATGGTTTGCCTCGATTTCTACGCGCTACGTTTCAGACCTGTGGCGGTTTATTGGCGTAAGTGAGCTTCGATATTCTCAGCGTTCTTCGCGGAAGCAGTAGAATGACTTCCAACTGTGCTTCTCCCCGCGCTGATGAACATTGATATAGAAGAATCTGGTTAATGCGGTTCTGTAGGCTCTTAACCCCGACCTAGGCAACATGCAGGCACGTTAGTAATGACAGAGCCGCCGGCGCAACAAGATTTGGCCCTACACAACATGATAATCAAAACGAGGCGCATTTCATTCTGAGGTCATTTTGAGGTCGCGGTTCCCCCTGCGGCGTGCCGTTGTTACCGTTTTAGTTGCTTTAGAGAAAACCAACAAAGCTTGCCATCGCGCCAGCTACAAGAAACAAAAAACAAAACAAAAAAACATGCGATCGTGGAATTCACGAAGGACGAGATGAAATCCCCAAAGAAGACGGAGCTTCTAGTCTCAGCTTAAAAGGCCTCTGACACGCCAAACATTTTTTTTTTCATGCTAGGCGTTGAAATGGCATATCAGGACATAACAAAAAAATTGTTTCACTATAGAGTTGCGTAGTTTTCTTATAAAAAATAGAAATACGAGGCAGGGTTCCAAGTTCCCGCCAGAGCACTGTAACGTAACAGTGTACCGCAAGGTGTCGGGGGAGTCAGAAAAAAGGCGTCGCCGGAATTCACGTGAGTTGTATCCTTTTTCGTGCTCCCCGCGAGCGCGTGTAATATTTTTTTAAATATTTTTGTTATTCTCCGCATTTCCACGAGCGATCCAAGCAGACAAGGTTTTTTTATTTGCTTTTCATCGCTTAATGTTGCTGTAAAGGTAGAAAAAGAGGAGTTAGTGAATTGACGTGATCAAATACAATGCCTAGAAGGTACTGTGTGAGGGACTGTCCAACACCACCTAGACAGAAGGCCTCCGCATGGTTTCCTCTTCCTCTATGAAACGTCATCACAGTCGGATCGCGCTCGGTCGGCTATTGGACCCGAGCCCGACCTTCGACGCGCTGATTGGCCACGAGCCGCAGCCGAACACTGACGCAGCACTCGTGCCCAATGTCTCGCCTCGGTCAATCTGACTATGATGACGCGTGTCGAGGCCTTCTGTCTAGGTGGTGTTGGACTGTCCCGGTATTTCAGCAACTGAAGAAGCGATCACACTGCATGCATTTCCGAGAGACATGCAAGAGATGGACCGGTGGCTGACTGTGTTCCCCGCAGGACAGCTATTAGTATCCGTCGGTAGGCGATGGATATGCTCGATGCACTTTAGTGATGAAGATTGCAACCCTAGGCGAAGTTTACTAAAACTCATAGATCTCGATGTGAGACCTCTACTGCAGGTCTGTAAGTTTCCTGCCCAACTCCCTGCAGCAGCGGCACTCAAGAGGCTT